TTACGATTAATTGTGGAATAATATCGATAATTTGTACTACATGTCTCTGAATCACTTTGCTTCGCATGATATATAGAGGAAACAAATCATAAACAAATTCAAAGACGACGATTTCTTTTTTCGAAATCCTCTTAAATTGAGAATATAAAATTTCTTTTTGAATTTTTTTTAAAAAATACTTTCATCAATCGTCAAATTTATTACATGGTCTGCATTAAAGGGAAAAAAAGGTTCTTTACCTCGACCTAAGTATTGGCCAAGATGATTATGGAATTGGAAGATGCGCCAATTCCTCACATATGCTTATCAACAAGGGCTGAGCACTGAGCGGTTAATTTAACAGTTGGCTTTGTCACAGAAAAGAAAATTATTGTACTATGCTTTTGTATAGCTTTTAATCTTTTATTTAGGAGGAATGACATTAAAGTCCCAAAATAATGAATTTATGATAGTTTTGTCCTAGATAAATTTTTTTTGTAAAATCAGTTTAAATATTCAAACAATTACAAATTCAGGAATTTTAATTGCAAATAAGATATTTAAATTCTAAAATATAAATCTCAATTTGCAATTGAGATTTCTATTTTTAACTGTAACTATTTAAATCAAAATTTATAACTTATTTTTTAAAAAAATATTGAGAACCTAACTGTTATAAAATCTCTATTTTGAAACTTTATTGTAAATCAATGTTTAATATAAATCATGGTTGCCTCCTCTATAAATTGATGTTTCTCTTCGTTGAATCTGGACCAAAACCAAACAATATGAAACCTACCGCATTATTTTCATCCTTCTTTTTCCTTCTTTCTGCCTTCACCACTACCACGGCGGAGGTGCTGATCGACACTGATGGTGACATTGTGAGAAATGGTTGGAGATACTACTTAAACCCTAATTCTCATGTTAGAGGAAGTGGGATTATATTTTCTCCCATTATGCATGCACATTCATGCACACTCGCTGTGGTTGATGATCCCTTCAATGGAGGACGAGAGACAATCATATCATCTCCATTAAGAATCGCTTTCCTCACCACAAACATTCCCTTAAACTTACCGTTCGCTGATTTACCACCCAACAACTGTGCCGATCAATCCAAGTGGGTTGTCACGAGGCCGTCCCTTCCCACCGGAAAGCCTGTGATAGTCGGTAGTGCTGAAGAATTTGGTGATGCCTTTGTTCATGGTTGGTTCTTTATCAAGAGGTATAAGCTTATTGTTTCGGAAAGGCATTACTATAAGCTTGTCTTCTGCGAGGAAGAAAACGCTTGTAAAGATGTCGGGGTCCACGTCGACAAACAGAACCAGCGTCGTTTGGTTGTCACTGACAACGAGCCACTGGTTTTTACCATTCGCAAAGAATGGAGGAGAAGCTCCACGTCCGATCTGTCTATGGTGGTGTGAACTATACTGTGAACGTCTGAAACTAGAAATAATGATGATGATAATGTGAGACATACTCGTTGCTCTCACTTTCGTAGACCACTACTGCATGTACCAGTTTATCTCTATGACTAATAAATATTCCATTATCATCATCTGTTCAAAAAAAAAAAACATCTTGACATGCTTTGCGCCACTCATCAATTAATAATGTTAATTTTTTTTATGCCTAATAGTTTTCAAGAGTCATAATCCTTGATTAATCTATATCAAGTTGAATTAAACTTGAACACAAAGTTCTCCAAGTAATAGCTTTTATTGTATATATGTGTGTGTTTGCAAGACTTGAACTAAAAAATTTGCTTAAAACGAACAAAAGCCGAACCACTACTGTTCGCCTATGACTCATGTTTAAATTTAGGGAAAAATAATCCTTTTATCCTTACAATTTTACATGATTTTTGGCTCTTATAGTTTTAATTTTTTAAAGGAAAAACATAATTATTAATCCCTATAGTTTTATCAAATTTTGCTTTATATCCATGTAGTATTGTTTTTTGTGTTTTTAGTCCATATAGAATTTGAAACAATTGAAAACACTGAAACTATAGTGACCTATGTAACAAACGTCACTTAATCTTGTTGAAATTACGGAAACTAAAAGCATTGAAAAAAACTATAAAAATTAAAAACAAAACAAGATAAAACTATAGGGACCGATGATTGATGTAACGTTGCAAAGGTAATAAGGTATGCACTTAGTTTTGGAATAAGGATTGGAAACTATAAATTTTTAATAAGAGTGTTACCTATCATATTTTTTTATGATTAATACACACTCTCTCTCTCTCTTTGATCATGTTTATAAGGCAAAAGGTTAAGAATTTTTTATTTACTCCTTTGATCCTATTTATAGAACAGGGAGAGAATATTTATTTTGATTCTACATATAAAGCACCTTATTGTATCTTTACCATTTCACCTCTATTAAATGTTGAGAAAGTTTTTAAATTTTAGAGTATTTTACTTTTAAAATATGCATATTTAACACAGATTAAATTTTCTAAGTTCTAATAGATATCATAGCTAAGGGTGGACTAGTGGCAGACCGAGGACCTTAACCTAGTAGGGTCAATATTTAATAGGTGTTTCTTAAAAAATAATAATATTATTATAACAATATATTTAAATGTTATATCAAATTCTTGATAGGAAAAGGTGCCTATATTTTATATCCGACAATGTTTCGAATATGAGTACTTCCAATAAAAAAATACCATAAATAATAAAAAAAGGTATGTTATAAAAACTTATATTTTCCATTAATAAATCAATAAATTTATATATAATCTTTCTGTACTAAATAATTTTTAACTACTTTTAACTAATTAGAAACAATTAATGATCGTATAATTAAACTAATGCTTATTCCATTCGGTCCATACTATAGGGTATTAGTAATTATTTTATGATTCTCAAAGTAATTAGTTAAAATTTTAATCTTTTAAAAAAGCATATACTTCCTCTGTTTAAAAATATAATATATTTTTAACTAAATTTTACCTCTAATAAAGTTCTTACCTACTTTCAAACTAACCCTATCTTTTTATATTTATCCTTATTAACTATCCTATAATAAATATAAAGTTATTATCAATAGGGGCACTTTTAAAAAAAAGTAATAATTACATCTCGAAAGAATAAAAATGCTTTACATTTTTTAACATCCAACTCCTTAAAAAATGCCTTACATTTTTTAATGGAAGGAGTATCTTTTTAATTATACTTTCATTAAATATTGTATGGAATTACCTTAATAATGACAATTAAAATTTTAATAGACCATTTTTCAAAATAAATAAAAAATATAAAGATATAGTTGAAAAAAATATAAAAACTACTAAATATTTTATATTTTAGGCCAAACATGACTTACAAAAAATGCCTACTAATGAAACTCCACCCACCGATTTACACCATCTTTTCATGTCTTTTTTAAAAAAAAAAATCTCCTCTTTATTTTGCTCCACTCGCACACGCAATCTCCCACACACCCACACTATTCCACTATTCTTCCTCTTCCTATCACTGTTCTTCTTCTCCCTGCCAAACGTTGTCTCTCATTTTCCGACATGCAAACTTAATTTGAAACCCACTATGGAAATGTAAAGCTTTCATAAGAGTCTCTAATGCTTCATCTATTATCTCCCATTTTCGAATCCATCTCCCTGTTTTGTTTCTTCCATCTTGCTCAGGGGCTTCAAGTCTTGTAGATGAGAGGGGGCATCATGTAAACTCATCACACGTTAGCCTCATCACACGTTAACGCGGTAATTTCAAAAATTGGGGGTGTAGACATAACACCACAATTAAAATAATCTTTCATATTAAACACACACATATACACAAATTATACATACAGTTTTATAAAAAAGTTAGGTAAAATCTTAATCTCTTAAAAAAGTGTATATTTTTTCAGTTATATTTTCATTAAATTTTTTTATAAGTGTCTTAATAATGATAATTAAAATTTCAATGTATAATTTTTTTAAAAAAAAGTAATAAATAAAATAGGAGTATAGTTGAAAAAATAATTATAAAAACTATCAATTATTAGGTGTTTTAGACTAAGTAGGGCTTTTAGAAAATGCACCCTTTATATACACTTCTGAACATTTTTTCATGTAGATTAAGAAAAATTATTAGATTGCTTTATTTTTACAAAATATTTTAATATTTACCTAATACCAATATTCACTAATACCCTTATTAATTAAACAGAACCTCATCATGCCTTGTTTAAGTTACAAAAAATCATTAAAATTATAGGGAGTAAAAATGCAGTATCATTTGAAATCTTAATTGGGTATCTTATAATTTAGACTAACGTTTATTTTTGAAAAGTACTTTAGTATAAGGGATCAGAGCGAACATAAGTATGCTATATAATTTTATTTTGAACGTTTTAATTTTTTTTAAAAAGTATATATAGTTGTACATAATCTAGTATCTAATATTTCCAAATTATAATTTTTTTTGTTTTCTAAAAGTTGGCCCCCCCTAACTATTAAGCTAGTTCCGCCCCTGATCACAGCTCTCATCCTGATCTCTTCTGATACATATATAGGGTTCAACATTCGATTCTTTCTTCAGTGTTCTCTTCGACATTCGACATCTTTGTGGCGATCCTCTTCTAATTTATTTGGTGATTCACACATAGCATCGAACGTGTTTATTTGGTTGTCTTCTCTCTTGTCTACCGTACCCCAACTCTCCGGTTCCTGCCTCCTTGTATAGTAAAACCATCCAAATTGATTTCATTTTGAACGGCTCTGATTGAAATAAGGAGATATAACGTGCAAAGGAGAGGTAAGTGTAGAGAAACTGAAATGTAAACATTCTGTGTAAAGCTTAACATTATGATACGGGTGGCATTGAAGCATCTCAAGAAATTTAACTGATGATGATAATGTAATTTTCATTCATATGATAAGCAACTACATAAAATATATGAAAGTGCAATAAGTATGCCACTCTCACATTATTAATTACATCACCATCACCGTTACATTATTATCATTATTAATTTATTGTTATGATCATGGATCTCCAGCTCTAGAGGTTCCCAGTTGACACCACCATAGACAAATCGGAGGCGAAGCTTTGGTGAAACTTGTCAAACTTAAAAACCAGTGGGTTCTTATCGGTGACAACCAAACGCCGTCGTTCTGCATTATCAAGTTTGACGCCGATGTTTCCACAACGATCTTTTCCTTGCTCACAGAAGACGAGCTTATAGTAATGCTTTTCTGAGTCGTGGGTCTTGATAAAGAACCAACCAGGAACATAAGCAGAGCCAAATTCTTCTGCACTGCCAATCATCACAGGCTGACCAACAGGAAGGGAATTTTTGACGACCCAATCTCTTGAATCGCCGGTGCAGACGTTACGTCCTAAACGAGGGAACGATATGTTCAAAGGAAACGTGGTGGAGATGAAGCCAGCTCTGATAGGAGAAGATATAGTTACTTCCCACCCTTCAGTGTTCAATTTTGAAACCACAGCGATTGAGCAGGTTTTGGGATCACCCTGGTTAATTATGGTATCAGGTAAAATGCCTCCGCCTCCGATAGGAGCAGCCGATGACAGGTAGTATGTGCCCCCGTTTCTCATTATATCGCCGTCGGAGTCAATCACCACCTCCGCCAAGACGACGGTGGCGGTAAAGGCGAAGGGAAGGAAGAAGAGGAAGGAAAGGAATGCAGTAGGCTTCATTGATTTGTGGCTATGGAAGACTATAGGGTTTGTTGGTTTTGGGTGTGAGTGTATGGGAATTCGGATGCTTGTATTTATAGAGGTAACGAGGGAGTGATCAAGGTGAAGCTCGAAATGCTTTGTAATAAACGATTAAATTTTTCTTAGGTTTTTTTATTGGAAGAATTTTTCTAAAGTTTTTAGTCACGTGAAAAGAATCAGATGGATAAGAATGCCACCAAACAATAATTATGCATGTAGGGTTACTCCTTCCATCTTCCGCACTTGGCTTCTTATCGTGCAACAGGTGAACACTTTATGCCCTTCTCAATAATGAACGATCCGTATTGAAATATTGAATTACTGAATTACTGGTCGAGGATAAAGTCTGAACTCTGAAAGCAAAGGCCGGGAAAATAAAATGCTCTTTCTTAATCACAATATAAATTATTGTTAATTAATTTTAAAAATTATTTAAGATTTTGATTTTTAAAAAAAATTTCACATTTTTTCAATGGGGCCCTTAAATGTAATAAATAAAACATTTGACTTATTCAAAATATTTTCATTAATTATTCAATAAAGTAAGGATATAATTGAATATTTATACACATAACATTTATTCAATACTCTATATTTTGAATCAAGCTATTATATTGTAGTTTGGAGAGAATAGGTAGATGCATTAATTTTTTTTTTTTCCAAAACATTTTTCTACCTACCAAACATTTCATATTTGTGTTTCTGGTATATAAAACAATATATCATTTTGCCAATTATAAGCTTTACCCTTAAAGATAAACTTACAATTTTTCTATTTGTGTAAGCAGACTCCATCTCAACCCTTCAGAGTCCCACATCTTAGAATAGTCTTTTCCCTGAGTTTTTGGTTGTTTCATATCACAAATAGTGAGAGTTATAATGGCAAAGTTTGAACAAGCAACAGTAGCCATGAGAGGATAAACTCGAAATAAAAGCTAAATAACAAGTCTGAGCATTGTTTATAGTTTATGAATAGGCTTCATAAAATTTTTTGTATAATATTAGATATACATTCAAGTGCAAAACAAGGACATTGCTCATAACTCAATATCTCTATCACCTGGACCACGTTATCGCATAGGAAGGAAGAGTACTCGTTCTACCCAGGGGCGGAACCAGGTTCAATTTTTAGAGGGGCCAAAAAAATTTAATAGAAAATAAACAATTACATAATATATGAAAACAATTTTGGTAAAGTAAAATTATATTCTCCTTTATAAATTATTTTTAACTTGTTTCACTAAAACACATGGAAATTTTAAAATTCATTAATTATGTATGAAGATTTAACAAGCTTTTAACTTTGTTTTTATTAAATATACATGTTTTGATAACATGCATCAGCATTTAATAGGGATAAAATGATAACCTTATGATAAAAAGTCAATGGCATACCTATAAGTATATTCTTATGATTCTATTTATAAATCATTTTTAATATTTTCACTGAAATCAAGTTTTTTACTTTATTCCTATTAAATATATATATTTTTACAAATAAAATACTCTAACATATAACAATCTTTTCAATATTTAATTGGGATAAAATGGTACGGATGGATATAGTAATCATTGAAGTACTTTATAAATAAGATTAAAATAAATACTTTCTCTCTATCCTATAAATAAGAACAAAGGAGTGGAAAAAAAAAATCTTATCTTTTTGCCTTATAAATATGAACAGGGAAAAAGTAAGTGTGTGTGTGTGTGAAACATAAAAAAATATGATAGGCAACACTCTTATTAAAAATTTATAGTTTTCAATCCTTATTTCAAAGCTAAATGCGTACCTTATCACCTTTGCAGTGCCACATCAACACCTTATTACCTTGTGTGCCATACATAATGCAAGTCTTTGTAATTGTATTATAATAATGTATGTGTGCCCTGTACTTGGGAGGGGGGGCCATGGCTGGTTCTACCACTACTTTTTCTTGTGAGGAATCTGCAATTTATCAATGGATTCAATGTCCATAAATTAATGAATATCATCATATAAATTTGAAAGGAGGTCAGTCTCACACGGATGTATTATTCAATCAGTATAAAAATTCAATACATCGTCATAAAACTCAACCAGATCGTATCTTATTTTTGAAAACTTCATGTGATAGTGTTTCACTATTTAATAACTGAATAGTCCAAATATTGTCATCACTCGCTATACTCGATCGACATGAAACTTGGAGAATGTGTATATATATATATATATATATATTTAGATAATAAACTAATTAAGGAGATTAAATATGCCATATATAAGATATTGTTATGTGTCAAAGTATCCATGGGTGGAATTGAATTGATATGGATAAAATTAAGCTCAATAACTCCTCTTATTCATTTGTTCCCTCGCCTAATTTCCGGTTGTTTGCTCCCCATATATATATATATATATATATATAATTCCTAACAGTTATATATAGGTTAAAATATATTTCATTTTTCATAAAATTACTCCCTCCATTTAAAAATATAAGGTATTTTTTGAGGAGTTGGATGTTAAAAAATATAAGGTATTTTTAATTTTTCGATATATAATCATTACTTTTTTTTTAAAGTGTCCTCATTGATAATAATTTTATATTTATTGTAGGGTGTTTAATGTGAAAAGATATGGTGTGAAAGTAGGTAAATAGGTAACCACTTTATTAAAAGAGATATTCAATTAAAAATACCTTATATTTTTGAACAGAAAAAGTATCTAATATGATAATTTGACATATAAAACCTTACATAATTATTTTTTTCCAAATTCTAGTTTGTATAATTTCACAAAACCTATGCCGGCCGTAATTCCAAAGTAGTTGATGAACCGAAGACTTGGATCATCAAGGGCATGACTTTATTTAATCATGAAGAACCTTTTAAAAAAAAATCAAATGCTTTTATAGAAATGTAATTTTCTTGAATGATGAATGTAATGATAGAAGTGTGGCTAATGCGGTCATGTTAGAAGTTAAAACTTCTTATTTGAAATGATTGATTGAATATATAAAGAGGTTTCCGTGCAATTATTGACGAAACGAAATTGGTAGTATATATAAGATTTGAATTTAATGAATGTTATAAATATACTAACTCAATGAATTTCTCATATATAATAGCAACTGTTCAAACAGCTATTAGATTCACAAAATTTCAAATTTTTGGAGGAAATAACATATTTGAAAAGTGTGCTGACAATGAGAATTGATTTGAATTTTTTAAAAAAAATTATCTAAATAATTTTTAAATATTAATAAAATATAATAATTATAATTAAAACATTTGAATAAATAAATTTAAGATATTAATCCAATCCAAATTCATAAATGGGGCCCTATTTGAAATTAGGATATGGACGTTTTAGTTTCGCTCCTATTGTCTTTGCTCTTATGTGCCTTTCGCATATGATGTCACAGGGCACAATCGCACATGCTCATCCTGTCTACAGACCCAAAAAAAAAAAAAAATAATCAATAGAAAGATAATTTATACATAAGATAAATATTAATATTTTTACAAAAAATAATGTTAAATATCTATTAAATTATATTAATTGTATAAGTAATAAAATTAAATATTAAAAAATTTATAAAATATAACATTATGATTAGAAAAAGTACTTTCCTTATGTAAATATTTTTTTATATCTATTAGAATCATGTTTTTAATTTTCATAAACAATTTTTTTCTAAATTTTTTACTCTTTCATTTTAAAACTATTGCTATTTAAATTTATAACAAGCATATATATATAATGTTAGATAATGAAATAAGTAAACTTTTATAAGTAAATAAATAAAATTTTTCGTAGTGAGGGCAGGCAATTGAAATTTTTTAAGAGAAATTATTAAAATTATTTAAGATCATCTTAAGTAAATTTTCCTCGGGTCAGTGGGGACAATTGTCCCCCATCATAAACGTGGGCCCTTTCCTTCTAATCCTTTGAATTAATGAACGGAAAATGATACATATATGATTGAGCACGTTTTGAACGTTAAGGTATTTTGTCTTCTTTTAGTCCCTTTCACTGTTAAATTATATGGATAAAATTTACTCAGGGAATAATAATATCATGAAAAAATAATATTAAAATCTCTTTAAATTATTTAGATGTCATAATTTTTTTGAAATTTTTAGAGATTTTTCTATTATTAAAAAATTTAATATAAAAGACCAAATTACTCTTAGTTAAAATAACAATCCCAAGTTTCAGAACAGATACTTGAGAACTTGTAAATTTTTGTTGAATTCTTGTAATTTTAGGAAGAAAAATTATGAATATTATAACAAAATTTGTAAATGACAATTGATATTTGCAACGTTTGAGGAATATCAAGATTTTAAATACGAACTTGTAAATTGCTATTGAATTTTTACGAATTTAAGAAGAAAAATTGTGAATCTTAAAATAAAATTTGTGAATAATAATTAATATTTATAACACTTAAAAAATATCAAGATTTTAAATGAGAACTTATGAGTTGACGTTAAATTTTTGTAATCTTAGAAAGAAAAGTTATAAATTTTTGAGCAAAACTAGTGAATCAAAGGCGTGAAGTATCTGTTATGAGCTTTGAGATTTTTACTTCAATAAAAGGAAAATTGATCTTTTATATTAATTTCTTTTTGACAGAGAAGTTCTTAAAGACCTTAAAAAATTATGGCATTTTGAAATATTAAAATATTATTTATATAATTCAAAAGGATGTTGTTGTCATTTTTTTTAATATCATTTGCATGAGTACAATGTGTTTCTAAATCACTCATATAGAAAGAATTATAAATCTAATAAATTTTTGTGGTGTTTGAATTAATGGGTTTAAATTTGGAAATATAAAAGTTTTCAAATAAAAAAAAATGAGTTACGACACAAAGTTAAAGTAAAAGATTGATGGTTATAAGTTTACCTTGATTTTGAGAGAAAACATAATTTTGAATCCATATACCTTGTTCAAGTTTTATTATAGATCTCTGTATTTTTTAAATATTTTAGATACCTATACTTTTATTTTTTGGTGTTCTAGGTCGAGGGGTGTTATAGGAACCTAGAATACTAAAAAAATTGCAAAAAATTATAATAAAATTTAAGCAAAGTGCAAAAACTTATGGTTATGTTTTTTCTTCATTTTATAATAAGGAAGGACAAAACGGGAGATAATTAGAAAATAGGCAAGACTAATCAATGGAAGAAAATTATAAAAGAATTATAATGACATAGGTTTAAATCTTTGAATTTACATCAATGAGAGATTCAACTTAAATTTAAATTTTTATTAATTCAAATAAATCATTAAAATTTTTTTGCTACTCAATGTCTTCATTTATGTCTTGAGTATTAATGTAAATCTTTTTTTCTTTTTTTCATTTAGTCGATCACCTTCACTTAAAGACTTTATTATCCTGTGTTGCCCAAAGGGGGAAAAAAACTTTATTCATAGCCAGTCCAAAGCTCCTTCTAAGTTCCAAGGTAAAGTCTTCAATAACGACAATTCTTTGGAAAGAGAATAATTACACCCACACGAGAGACAGCATTTGAAGCCAAGGCAAATCCAAGATCAAGCAGAATTCCATCGATGTGTTGTCTGTTATTGGCAGCCCAGCCATGCCCATGGAACCGAGGCCCAACTGAAGCCCAATAATTTCACTGTGCTGGGCCGGGTGGACCATAGTGTCACCCCCACCCTTTCACCTTACAGTTTTGACGATGAAGCATTAGCCTGCTCAAACCTAATGAGGTGGAATAGTTCCTCACAAGTCATAGCATGATCAATTAAGGTTGAACTTTTTATTCAACGATGTGCTCATAGTAGACATGATTTGAAGGGAGAGAAAAGTTAAAAAAAAATAAAGAAAACAAATTTCCAAACAAAGGATCAATGTCTATTTTGAATATAATTGTCTTCAATCACATAAATATATATATATATATATATGCACAATATAAAAAAATAATTATTTAATCTTTATAATTTTAATTCAATCTTTAAATTTTAATTCGTTGTAACTTAATTCCTCAACTTTAACTCTTGTAACTCAATCATTATAGTTTAACCATTTAAAATATTAATTCTTATATTTTAAAAAAATAAAATTATAAAGATCAAAATTATGTTAAAATTTAGGACTAATAATTTAAATTAACTGTTATAAATATTGTAAATATTAAAATTTTAAAATAGTTTTAAATTTTATAATTTTATTTTTTTAAATATAGGCACTAATATTTAAATGGTTAAAACTATAAGGATCATGATGTAAGAGTTAAAATTTAGGAACTGTATTACAATCGAGTAAAACTATATGGATCAAATTACAACAAGTTAAATTTCAAGAGTTGTGTAACACCCTCAAATTTACAAACTGATTTTGCGCAAATTATTAATTTAATAAATTATTTTTTTTTCATTTAACCCTTATCATACCCTTATCGTGGTAGAAAAATTTCTACCATGGTACATCCAAGACAATATATCACAGGTTTTAAAATATCTCAAAAAGTAATTAGAACCATGAGGGACAGACAAGATCCTCATGGCATGATATTTAAATCAGGTCATAAATCAAGAGGGACAAACATAATTCTCTTGGTCATATAAATGCATTTAATAAAAAGAATTAGAGTTTACATGTTGTCAAAATAAGAAATGTTCTAGGTTGGCACAAGATACATTGCATAATACAAAATGAGAGGCAACGTAAAAGATGATATCTCATACACCAAAGTTACGCCTCTGGTGCTTTCTTGGCCGGACTCACTCCTATAAAAATGTTAACCACGGGAAATGAGACTTAAAAGTCTCAGTAATCAAAATTAATATGTAATGATATATGCGGATGTAACTAATCATGCGATTGCTAAGTGGGTACACAAAACATTTAACCGAACAATATTTTCAAACAAACCGAACAAGTATTTAATTGCATGATTGCACCTTATATCCTCCTTTCGCCATATTCGTACGCCAAATCACCCGGCCAAAGGTGAGTTAAACCAAGTGACATGCTACTCATTGGGTCCAATAAGGGCTTACCACGTGGTGATAATTAACTAAACAGAAATTCCCATCAACACCATACATTAAAATACCCTGACAAGTCATGCATCATTCAAATATCCAAACAGAAATATATCAGAACAATAATATCTCATCATGATAAATAAAAATAAATTTTTAACCCACTTGTCAATAATTTCAAACAAGTATATACAGTATTTATTTTCAATAATTCATAATTTTTCCAAACAATAAAACAACACATAACCATTCACAAACACACCCATCACAATACATTAATAATGGTTACCTTGTGTCTTGAATAACAAGTTCCCCTTCACAACTCCTTTTTCACCACTATCTTTGTCAATATAATCTACATAATTATTTTACAAAACTATATATTAATTTTACATTGAAATTAATAAATAACTCTAATTTAAAGAGTTAGAAAGTCTTAGATCTAAAATTCATATTGACACTAATTTAAAATTTATGCCTTATTTAACTTTTTAATTTTTTTTCTAAAATTCTCATACCCTAATAAACTATTTTTAAGCCTCAAATCACTTCTAGTATCACAATTTCATCCATCTATATTCTAAAAATTCGTTTAAAAATAAATTAAAAATTTTAAAATTATCCTGAGACCTCAAATCACCTTTCTATAACCTTAAAAATACCTATTCATACTTAAATAAGTATTTAATAATTAGAGGTTCATCCCTACATCTCAGATTCAACATAAATTTAACAATATAGATCTAGATTTTAACTCAAAATTCTTAAACATGAGTTTCAACCTTAAGAAAATATTTTATAATATTTATTATATTCCTAAGAGCTTTAACCTATATTTTTAATCCATCATATCATTAGATTAACTATCCTATAGAAAAATATTAATCAAAATATTTACTCTATCCTACAAAATAATCATATCACTAGAAAGCTAATATTATTTAGAAAATAACTATAAAATTAATTTTATAATTAAATAAATTTTTAAATGCTAATCTAAACAGGAAAATTGGAACATACCTGAACAAAAAGAAAATAATCCTCCCTTGCGAGAAGACGGCGAGCAACGTGAGAGGAAGAGAGAAAAATAATATAAAAATAGGATTTTAGGTCCCACAATTATATTAAAAAAAACTACAGGTCTAAATTTAATTATTCAAATCTTTAGGCCATTATTTATAATTTTCACAAATTGCATCTTAAGTCATTAGTTGTAATTTTCACAAATTGCATAAATTTTCTTTACACTTCCTACGTGATATGCCTCCTCCTTTTATACATGAGGAGGTGCATTTCATTCCCACATCTAATCGATATGGGACTAACCTCCTTCTTTTTTCTTTTTTTGCTTTCCTTCTTTTTTTTTTCTCACACTCACACAATTTTTTTTATTTTAAATCTTAAAATTATATCTTAACTAGATATTTTTTATGTAATTTTAAACCTAAGTTTTTAATTTATAATTAAATGTCTAACCATATTATTATTTCTGAATAATCTCAAATAATATAAATTCTTATTATTATCATCATTTTTTTAATAAAAATTTAAATTTCACAACAATGTTTTTTTTTATCTAAAAAAAATCAAGATGTTACAAGTTGGGTTATAACTAGGTCAAAATTACTAAATAAAATGATTTTTTTTTTTAGTTTTGGCAATGACCTCCCCTGGTTCAAGTTGAACCAATTTATTATAAGTCTCAAATTTGAGTCTCTGAATATGCAGTTGTGTTAAATAAATATATTAAAGATATTTTTAAAATATTTACAAGATTTCTGTTAGTAATGATAATCCACACAGCAAGATCTGGGCAATAGAATGAAAAAAAAAAGAAGAAAATACACATGATGTATGAGTAACAATGTAAAATTTTGTCAAATTTACTGTTGTCGGTTTAATTTTTGGACTTAACTGTAATCATCCGGTTCTTGTATAGTGATTTTCTGTGTAATGGTTGGAATGTGGACAATTATGATTATACATTTTATTCAATGGTTAAAAAGAAAAAAAAAGAAGAGAGATATATGAGAAAACTTTTCATTTACAAAGCTTACAATCATATTTTATATTTTTAATAAAATTGTTTTATCATCAATTTAGACGATTTACATTTAATTTATATTATCCAAATTTAATATTAAAATATTAATATTTTTTATAAATTAATTATTTAAATTTACTTTGAATGGTTTGGTTTTTAAATTATAAATTTTTTTAAAAAAGTATTTTTCAGAAGGCGTCAGGATATTATTCATTTTATATTTTATTTATCAAATAAAGAATTATAAAATTTATGAAAAAATTTAATATTATATCTGTCAAGAATATATTTAAATATTTAATTTATAAAAAAATTAAAAATAATATTCAATTTAACTATCTAATCGCATATGTACTATTTAAATTGGTGATTAACATATTTATCATAAAAAATTTGTAATTTTTGTAAATTTTTATTTTAATAAATAAAAAAAATTACAAATCTCCGTAAAAATTTTAATTTAATAAATATAAATTTTTGCAAATGAGACGTTTTTCATGTATCTTTCTCCTTTTACCATTGGATAAAATGCATGCATGGCCCACCACTGTTAAAAAACCACGGCAGAGGATCCGGATCCGAAACGGGAGTCCCCACTCCCATGCTGAGTATCCGTTTGCTGCAGACGCCGTTCGACTACCTGAGCGTGTCGTTCCCAATCTCCGGCGCCCCTTAGGTTCACGCTCATTTTTGTACTCATCTCTCTCTCTCTCTCTCTCTCTCTCTCTCGCGTCAAAGCTTTGTTGAATATTTCGAGCGGGTTATTTCACATGAAAACCCTGATTTTGCAGACTGATGGAAGGAAATGAGAAATTTCTTGATTACAGAGTTGGCACTCTGCCAACTGTTTTATACATACCCAACTTCATCACCGATAATGAAGAGAATTTTCTTCTCAATAATGTAGCATTCCTATTCTGTTTCTGGCAGTTCTACGGATTTGTGTGTTTTTTTTTCCGACTTTTTTTTCTTGTTCGTTCCAGATATATGCAGCTCCTCCGTCAAAGTGGAAGTCATTGAAGAATAGAAGGCTACAGAATTGGGGTATGCTTACTTTTCATATTCTACGTATGCTTTCCTTTCAGTATAGAATATACTTAAGTATAGATTCAGGAATGACCATGGGTAGGGTAGGGTGCAGGATAAAACACCATACTAACTAAATCTGGACCTGCACGAACAAATTAGATCCATTCTCGTTCCTAGATGTCTTTTCTTGGATATATCAATGGCAATCCATATCTCAAACAAATAGTTGTCAAACGTAATTTGTGAGAAATAATTAAATTAATAGGTATGCATGTATACACACAGGTAAGGGATTGTTTGGTAATATAACATCTCTGTCCCGGACCCAAACCCTAAAAAGTCTCAAATAAGTACCACCCAAGCCTATTACCATTTAACAATTCCTGTATATGGACTTAAGGGATTGAAATTTATTGGAACTCATCAGGTATGGGTTGTCCCTAAGCAGAACTACTTTGTTCTTTTAGTTCAGGAATGATTGAATTCTCGAATTTACTCAAGGTTGGCGTAGACTTTGTGCTTTCATTCTTATTCATGTCAATTTGCTTTTCTGATCTATGTCTGTTGGCAGGTGGTGTAGTACATGAGAAGGGGCTTCTACCTCAAGCTTGTAAGTGGGAAACATGTGCTTTTTTTAATCTTAGTATGCTTCATGTATGATAGTCTTTCTTGCCTGTTCACACACACATGCATGCACATATTTATTTCCAAGCACTGAAAACTGAGCACTTGGACCTGTCATTTGTTGAAATAATGAGAAACTTTTTAACCTTGTCATTGTGACCTGGTGCAACTAGTGTGTTCTTAATAGGAAACTTTTGTACGCCTGCAATAGTTATATTTTTTTAGTTTATTTTGTTGTTTTTCACCAGTTATTGTTTCAGTTGTTTGAAGTATATTTTATGATTTTTTTTTTTAATGTTGGCCTTGTCACTACTGTGCTGTCTTTATAAACGCTAGATAATGATGGGTTTGTACGTTTTCTGCAAAATGTTGTGTTGTTGAGCTGTGAAGATAATGCAACAAGTTTACATTAATCTACATGACATTATTCTTTTTGTTCTTGAAATTGTCTTAATCTCTCGAAGAGAGGAAGAAATCACTCTACACATCCAACTTCCTAGTGAATAAGATAGGATGTTTTGCTACAAGCAATCTTAAAAATGTGCGACTGTTTCTTAATGTCCTGCTGATATCACAAGTTCTGCCTCTCTGTCTCTCTTGCAGTGCCTCCGTGGTTAACAAACCTTACCCAGAAAATATGTGAACGATCAGGACTATTCCCATCAGCAATCAATCATGTTCTCATCAATGAATATCTATCTAACCAAGGCATAATGGTTTGTGCTTAGCATCAACACCCACTTTTAGCCATTCATTTGTATTTCTCCCTTCCCTTTCTTTTAGCATTGAATTATATATTGTGAGTTTGCATTAAAAGTTTCATTGATGACTCTTTAACCTCAATTTTTATTCTGTATGTTTATTTTTGGGAAAATGTAAATCAACTTTGGCCATTTGCAAACCCCCCCTCTCAACATGGATGATAATCACTCATGTATTATAACATGTTTTGCACATCACTTTATTATGCTTTCCATATTTTTAGAATTTAATTTTTATTATTTTATTTTGAATCAATATATCGATTATCATTATCAATTAATATAAAATAAAATTTATAGCAAACTGCACTATTCATTAGTCGTGACTAGTGCTGTTTATTTTTCAAATTCTGTATAATGCACATAAAACTTGTCTACCTATTATGGTAGGAGTTAAGAAATAGTGTAGAGCATTAGGAATTATCTACTTGATGTATCAGGAGAGAAGTCCACTCCATAAGGATTTGATATTATTTTTGTTAAAGATTCTTGCATTTATTTGTCGAACAATTAACAATTTCCCATCTTTTTCCTGTCAACTGATTGTGTCATTTATCTACTTTTTCTGGTCTGTTGCCAGTTTATCTCCCTTTAAACTATCACCTTTGTGGATTTAGATCGTTTTGTATAGTTGTCGGCTTCTAGCTGATGCAATTAACACATATTATACTTGGTTCTTTACTTGTTATGTGACACTTTCTCAGTAATCTGCAACTAAATATTAGCGTTTAAAATTTTAACACAAGGCTTATGCGGCAATAAGACACCTTATTTAAAATCCTGATATCAAATAGGAACTCTAGACAAAATAATATTGAAACAAAATTCCATCAAAGTTTTCACCTTAAAACACTCAGATTGCATAAAAGAGCCTTCCGGACCAATATTCTCTAGTGATTTGAAAGGAAGCAAAAATTCTTTTGTGGAAAGGAACACTATAAGCATGAAGCTCAAGTTGCAGATCAGTGGAAGCATGCTACTTGACAATTGAAATACTTAGAAGGATCTAAGTCCTAAAGGATGATAATAGGGTTTCGCATTTTTCCCATTATATTAGTATCAACAAGAAGCTTTGATCTGCATGGTCGTGATTTTCGCTGGAACAAAACACTTTTCTCGCCAGAGCAAAACACTAAGCAGCATTGTTGTTCTACGATCCCTTTCTTATTTGTCTTGAACATTGTTGCTTTTGTACAGCCACACCAGGATGGCCCTGCCTATTTTCCTGTAGTGGCAATTCTTTCCCTTGGGTCTCCTGTTGTCATGGACTTCACTCCCCATTCCAGGTTAAAACTAGATGCTCATGATGCCATTGCCACAAATGATGATGATGGAACTATAGAGACTGAGAAAAGTAAATGGCTTGATGATCACCACCCATTTTCTGTCTTATTGATGCCTCGAAGTCTTCTGATATTCAAGGATCAAGCATATTCAGGTTGTTATCAGATTCTATAATACCTCCATCTTGCATTTTACTCGAGTATTTTTTTGAAAAAATTTGAGGTGGGGACCCTTGACTCAAGATAATGAAAAGAAGGATCCTAAAATTTTTGAAATTTCACTGAAGGACCCGTACGGAGTTTCTTTTGAATTTGTGACGGAAATGACAAAATTGTCCTCATTTAAATGAACAATATAAACGACTTGTTCGTTCCGATACTGTATGTTATCTATTTACTTACAGAATGTTATTCGTTTCCCTACTTCACTTGTTTGTAGCCCTAGTTTTACTTGATTTCATTCTAAGTGTTGGTTTCATAATAAAACGACTTGTTTGTTTCCATACTGTATATTATTTATTTACTTACGGAATGCTGTTTGTTTTCTTACTTCACTTGTTTATGGCCCTTGGAATGAATTCAAGTGAAAGTAGGCCCATAAACAAGTAAAGAAGAGAAACGAACAACATTTAGTAAATAAATTAACAACATACAATATGGGAGCGAATAATTCGTTTATATTGTTCATTTAAATGAGGGCAATTTTGTCATTTCTGTCACAAATTCAAAAGAAATTCCGTATAGGTTCTTTAGTGAAATTTCAGAAATTTTGAAGTTTTCTTTTTCATTATCTTGAGTTAAGGGTTCCCACTTGAAATTTTCCCTTTTTTTTTTTTTTTTCCTTCAAAATGTTAGTAACATTGTTGGTGCCATTGCCAGATTACTTGCATGGTATAGAAGATACTGAAGTACATTGCTATGATGGGGTAAGCTTTAATGCTAAAGCAATTTTGACTGTTAATTTATTCTGAAATCAGTGTCATTTTTATTTTTTTCCTCATGCTTGAAATTCATCTTTTTCAGGCTGTAAATGAAACTCAGGCTTTGACACAGAATGAATTAGATCACTCATTTTCGAGCTCAGAGGAGGCAGTGGAAACAATGGGTCGAGGGAAGGATAAGAATGTACTCAGGACATCTCAGAGAATTTCACTGACTTGCAGGTTGGTGCCAAAAGTGCACAAAAATTTGTTTAAATTTTGACCACCTTCCACTCGATAGTGTGCTATAACAATGTGATACTTATAATTACACTGCCTATCACTCATTCATCATGCTGCTATAATGTGTGGGAGCTGACATAATATTAAAAATAAATGAGGAACTCATATTTACTGAATATTACATGTACGTATTAGATATTTGAGTTGTGTGTATAATTTTTTTTTAAATTGTGAAATAACTTATAAGTTCACTTATTTACAGCAGATGCTAAAAACTTTCTCTTAATTCAAATTGTTGAACTATATTTACCTGATTAGTGAATTACTGATTAGGCACCAGCGATATCCATTCCCCAAAGCAATGACAGAGTTAGCTTGTAGCGATGCATTAATCAACCATAGAGTCACTCGTAAGCTCGTAACTACATTTATCTGTATTTTCTCCACCTATTTTATAATCTTTAGGTATATTATTTCATACTTTTTAATTATAAAAATTTGTCTGCATTATCTTAAATTTTCACAGTCAAATACGTTCAATTAAAACTTGGTAAAAAGAAAAAAAAATCATGTGGCATAAATATATAAATAAACAATTCTCTTTATAGAATTAACAAGACATTTATTGATTAACAGTAGTTGGGTTTAGTGAAAGGAATTAGTCTTTCACAATATGATAAACTAAGATTAAATCTTTGTTATGAGAGGAGTTTATATTTAGTACCCAACTGTTTTTTAAATAAAATTACGTCCAATAAGAGAATACATGTGAACAATCAGACAAAAAAAGAGACATTTATTGTTTTTAAATTTAAAAACTCAAAAAAAGTATTATCAAATTTAAAAATAAAACTATTGTTTGCACATGATATTAAAAAAAATTAAACACATTTTTGGAAAATAAATTGTGTTTGTTCATAGCTTATAAATATACAATTTATTTTATATTTTATTATATGTATATAAATATTGTGTATTTTAATTAACACATTTTTATCTTTATGTGATTTTCGAATATCAGTACCACACTAAAATTTAAATGTAATTTCATACAGTAACTACTATAGTAATATGAATTGAATCTTATATGGATATGAACTATAATAATATGACCATGAGCTCCACGTTGGTTTTTCCTCTCACGTTTTTATTAATGAATCCAACATTTTTCTTTGAACTAGGTCTCACATTAACCCATGTTTTTTTTTTCCTCAAATTTTTGGTAATAATCCGACATTTTTTCTAAAAAAGGGTCTAATATTTTTTTTCCTCTCTTAACTTTTTTATCAATGGATCAATTAAAATAAGCAACGGGAAATGTTGTACTTCGTATATGATATTAAGTCCATAATTGTTGAAAATTACTTATACTGTTTTATGGTGTTATGTTAAGTATTATTGTATATCAAATATATAAAGAAATGTATTTTTATATTTAAATCTTCTCTTATTTCTAAATTTCTATCATTATAAAAATTAATACATCAAAAGCAAAATACTTAACTTACGAAGATGAAGGAAAGTGGCCACAATAAGCTAGAAGTTTTTTTTTTCCCTTTTTTTTTAATAACAACACTGTGTGATATCATCATCATCAATGGTAACCTTACGGCATATTAGAGAAAATTTTGACATATTTATTTAAAGTAAGAAAAATATACCTTTAGGTAGAGTCGGGAATAAGGATCGGGCCTGGAGGGCGGGTTTGGAGACCCTGTTTAAATAAGGGTTCGGGCTTTGAAAATAATTTTTTTTAAAAGTAATCGGGCTTGAGGGCTTGGCCCTGATAAGCCCTATAAAAAAGGTCTCGGGCTCTAGTAGTCCTTCAAGCCCTGTTATATTATTATTTTTTTTGGTGAAACATGTGTTTGAAGCCAATGACTTATTCACCTAATCCTACACACATTATATTATTATTAACTTTAATTTCTTCTAAAATTGATTTAATATAATTTAATAAATATCAGTGTATAGTATAAAATTTTTGATATTTTTTATTTTTCTATAATTATTATGTTTGTATATTTATAAAAAATAAATTATTTTTTAACCAAGATTTAAATTTTATTACTAGACTTCTAAATGTGTATTGTTTAATTTTTAAAAATTATGAGAATTTTTTTTTTAATTTCAGAATATTTTAATTAATTTATAATATTTAATTTTAATTTTTTTTTTTTATTTTTTTGAAAAAGGGCTTACGAGCCCGGCCCTGAGCTCTTCACAAGGGCTGGGCTTGAGAAACATGGTTCAAAATAGAGAACCGGGCTTTAGGGCTCGGTCATAAGGGCCGGGCCCGCCTGTATTCCCAATTCTACCTTTAGGTTCTCATATTTTGCTCACATTTTGCTTTTAGTCTCTTCATTTTTTTATATTATAGATCCCTACATTTTTAGTTTTTATTGTTTTATGTCTCTCTATGTAGAGACCTAAAACACAAAAAAAAATATAAAAACTAAAAATAAAATGTGAGCAAAGTGTGGTGACCCAAAACTATACTTTCCCTTAAATAATTATACATCACAAGATTCAAATTTAAAATCTTATGATAAACTGGTTCAATTTTTTAACCAATTGAATCAATTACCCCTTAATTAATAAGCTAGAGGTTATAAATATGTTTGAAATGTGATTTTATTTTTGAGAAATACCCTCATTCATTCAGTAATTATTTTAAGAAATTAACTAATGTCGTATTAATTGACTGGTGACTCATTTATTAATAAGAGTATATAAGAAAAATTTTAATAAATACATAAAAAAAGATATTTTTTTTATAAATAAAATAAAAGACCACATCTAAAATTCTCTTAATAGAAAATACTTGATGGAGTAAGATTTAATTAAATCCCTGATATATCTAACAAATATCCCATGGATCGTGTGGAATAAAATCTAGTTAACACGCACATGTTAATAATTAATAATAATATAATAAATCTAATATATTGAAATGTATATTTTCCAATTTAAATGGTAAGAATTTTTTAGTTAAATTAAACTTAATCTAAAATGTAGGCAAATAACATTTTTTTGAAATTATTTTATAATTATAAAATATGGCAGCATTGCGATTCCCGAAGGGGCTTTATTGCTGTCATAAAAGGGCATAACCCCGTTTCTTCTCCGGTCAAATTATACGGTACTTGACTCTTTTTTGCCACAAAAAAAAAAAAAAAAATTATACACTACTTTCGTATCAGGGATCCGATATTTTTACATGTACTTTCTGCTCTATCCAAGGTTCTCACCGATCCCGCGCCCAGATTCACAACTTGTCAGCCTCTTCTCTATCTCTTCTTTCTTGTTCCTTCGGCCGTTGTTTACAGTTTCTTCTTACCATATCAAATTCAGCAGTTGATTTCGGATTTGTCGCATCTGATACCTTCCTCATATATCCTTGGCTCAACGATTCTGCCATTCTGAAGCTCCGTTTTCATATTGGACCTATTGTAGGTAATCTCTCTCTCCTTCACTCTTCTTGTGTACTCTTGGCTTTGGGTTGTGACTGATTTGTTTGGCTCTGGTTTCTCATATCTTGTTTGCACCATCCCATTTACTTCGTTTGACTGGTAGTCATCGACATTCGGAAGGATTTTACCTGGGTTTTTGCCAAAAAAAAATTATTGGTTAACACGGCATGGGAGCTTCTATTATCTGAATGCGTTGGACTGGTTTTCTCATTCCGTTTGGATTGAGCAATTCAAGCAAATGGAACAGAAAAAAGTCCTAGAATTTGATATCTTTCTTGGGGAAAAATGATTGGGAATTTCTGTAAATATCGCACTTCTCTCCTCAAAATCTGTCTCCATTTTCAAATTTTTCTTTCCCTTGTTTCATTTGAAGTATAGTATGTACTGTAACATTTCTTTTTTGTTTTTTTTAAGGGGATGAATTGATGCAATTGTAAGGAACTGATAAAACTACAAAGAATATGTACTTTCGAAAACTTTGATGCGTGATTAATTGAAAAGAGCTATAGGGAGTAAATGATGGTGTCAGCAGAGTAGTGGAAGGGGAGAACTTGGAATCGGTGGGGATCCCCAAAGTGGTGTAACCGAAAAGCACCGTAGGTTCTTCATGCATATTTGGGATTTTTATTCTAAAGACATGGGTTATTATCATCATAGAATTTACAAATATAATTCATTTGTGAAATGGGACTGAAGATATATTTATACAAATTATTGAAGATTCTATGCTTATTTTTAAACGAAACAGTGCAAATGCCTAATGGGACTGTACAGGAACAGGATGATTAGGAATCTGTTTGCTAACACGTATGCTGAGTGAATAGTTTCATATCTTTTTAAATTTTTTTTAATGCATTTATCTTGATTGTATTTTCTTTCGTATAGAGGTTTGCATTCATCGTCTATGGGTTCTCATTCTGTCTTGTTTTCTACAAATTTAGAAGAACCAATGCTGAGTCATCTTTTTGCTGCTGAGCTTGTGTTCTCCCTCCCTCCTTACTTTCATATGTTAGAAAAATCTAAATGTGCTTCCATCTAGTCCAGATTTATTTTTCTAAAATGTGAGACTGAAAAATGTTAATATATTCTATCGGTTATGAATATTTTGGCTTTGATATATTTTTCTTGCCCTTAAAATACTCCACTTCATGTTGACGTCTCCTTCATGATGTAGGTAAATTATGCTTTGAGGGGATGAAGAAAGTCCCATATGTGGATACTGAGGTGTGAATTTCCAATGTCCAATTTATGATCTGCGTTTCTTTAGTGAAGTTTCTTTCCCGTACTTTATCTGGTGATTTTTGCAAGACTATGTCTAGCACGAAGAAGGTTGTCTGATTGCTGTTTTACAGCATCAGCATATTTTTTTTAGAAATCAATTTTGCAGTTACAGTGGAATGTCCTTGGCCTCTATTGAGCATGGTTAATAAATTCTAATAATTTATTCAAACCATACTCTTCCCTTGGTAAAGTGTTTTGAAGTTAGTTTATGTTAAGTAGCTTTTAATTGTATCATGCATATCTGCAAGGCACGTGTGCGACTGTCAAGTTAACCATGGTTAAATAGCATAACTTCTTTTTTTTAGTTTCCTCTTTTTCTTGATTCTAATCTCATTATCCTTGAAAAAAAAAAATTTGATAGGGTCTCACCCTTTTCTTCTTGACAACATTTTATTGTGGCCTTATGCTTTCATGATTACAATTTCCATTCAGGTTGTAATCAATGAGGAGTTCTCTTTTTAATCTGAATTTGGGCTACTGATTGAGTTCATTCCTTTGCTGTTTAATAGAAGTCTGAGCAAACTAGCTTCAAGGTTGTATTTGACATGTTGATGAAGGAACTCCGGGAACCTGTAGACTTTGAACTTCCAGATTGGTTTAATAAGTCGAAGCCAATGCCCTACATCTCTATAAAACGCAGTATCTTTTATTAATTTTGGCAAACTTGTTATGCCTCTCATATCTGGTTCAATATCATGCATCTGCTTTTAGTTTTCCTGTTTGGATTTATATTAAGATTTTTGCTGGGGTGTTTCTGTATGATGATTCAGGTGACATCTGATCTATAGTATGTCACAGTTTCCTTCTCTGTTCTGAAGTATTTATCTTGCTTTCACGTGCTTTGTCTATTATGATATCTTTCTTTGTCCTTGGTGGTCCTTATGAACTAAGATATATATCGCACGAAGAAGGTCAGGAAACGATTTGATGATGATGATGGCATTTTCTGTTCCTGTGCTCCCTCAGTTGGATCTTCTAGTGTATGTGGTAAAGACTGCCTCTGTGGGTAAGCGTTGTCTTCAACATTTGTTTTTGTTCCAGTATTTATCTTGAAAAACTAAACATATCTACTTTATATAGTTTCCTGCATATGGTCAAATTTTGTCACCCTTTTGACTGGTTAATTTTTGGTTTATATTTGTTGCTTTTAGCATGTTTCTTAGTTTCCTTTTTAGGTAGGAGTTTTGTATAAGTTGGAAAGGTAGGTTTGTTCCTTCCATTCATGCTTTCTTATGGTTTTTCTTTGTGTATGGTTGTTTTTTCATTGGCCTGTGTAGTAGTGACCCATCTAAGATTAAGGCTGATGGGATCTAGAAATATTCTTGAACGGAAAAAAAAGATGGTTTGAGATGGATTGGACATGTACAAAGAAGATCGCAGGAGGCACCCATGAGGAGAGTGGAATAGATAACTTTGACTCCTATTAAGAGGGGTAGAGGAAGGCCAAAGAATATTTTTAGAAGTTGTAGATTGAAACCTCTTAACAACATTTTTTAAAGCTTTGTAAATAATAAAGCACAATGGCGTATACGATCCATATAGCTGATCTCATTTGGTGGGATAAGGCTTGTTGGAAAAAAAAAGATGAGGTGGAAGGATGGGTAAATCAGGGAATTTTTTCCTATAGCTAACCATGCCAGTTTGTGAGGTGGAATAGAGAGAAAGAGGAAGTATGTTGTGAGGACTTTTATGAGGGTTAGAGGTATTATGCAGGTGTGAGTCACCAGAAGGATTGCTAGTAGGGATTCTAGCCTCTTAAAATGCTGGGAAAACCTATCTCTACTTATTGATAATAAATTTGCAACTTAAAGTGCTCTTATATGCAGCTGTGATATGTGTTTATCGTGTTGACTGTTCCTGCAGGATGCTGTTTTCTACTTGCTCTTCAGGCTGTAAATGTGGAAGCTCCTGCTTGAACAAACCATTCCAGAATCGACCTGTGAAGAAGATGAAATTGGTAGAGGTACTGGCTCAAGGCTGCTTTTCTTTTAATTTATTTTTTTATGATGTAATTATCCTGCAGTATTTTCTCTGGTTGTTTTTTAGCAACTTTTAACTTCCTCCTATGAAAAGGAGTCTAGTATTCTTATATTGGCCTTATTAGTTTCTTCCAAGATCATATTTCGATTTATGGGCATGTAACCTTCACTTAATTGATGGTTGCTTGTTTGTAGTTGCTACCGCATTTGGCATGATCATCTAATTACGGCACTCGTTCTGAATTTGTATTCCCATCCTAATGCATATACTTACTATTAATTAAGACAACCAAAGGTAGTCTTTCCATCTTCCCTTTCTAACTTTAAAACTTAAGGAGTCTTTAGCCTATTAATCTCTGTCAAGGATATTAATAAAAATATATAATTTAATCATAAATATAAAATGCAAAAATAAATTTGAAATTTGTTATGTTAAAAATTTCATTTTCATTCTGAAGTCATATTTTTTCTGCCACTTCTGTTCCTTCCCTATCTTTCCACCTCCCTTTGTTTTTTGTGCAGAAATGCATCTATCTGCTAATTTTCTAATAGGATTATTTGAAGCTATGAAATCACAGCCATTTCTCAAATGTTTCTGCTTAGCATACTGTTTACTGAGTGTTATGGTATTGCTTGTAGACAGAGAAATGTGGCTCGGGAATTGTGGCAGATGAGGATATCGAACAAGGGGAGTTTGTGATAGAATATGTAGGAGAAGGTGATCAATGATCGATAACTATTCTCCTGTTTACAAGTAAATTTTTGCATGTGTTCTTTTAAAATGTATTAATAGATTAATAGATGTTGCCTCTTTCAAGCAGTCATTGATGACAAAGAATGTGAACATAGGCTTTGGAATATGAAAGCTCGAGGGGAGACAAACTTCTACTTATGTGAAATCAATCGAGATATGGTGATTGATGCAACATTCAAGGGAAACAAATCAAGATATATCAACCATAGTTGCTGCCCCAACACTGAGATGCAGAAATGGTTGAATACTAATTCTTTCTCACATGGTCATGCAATTAGGTATTTCAAATCTTACATGGTATTTTTATATGCTTCATCTTATATCTGCCTTTTACTTTCTTTCCTTTTCAAGGATAATCGATGGGGAAACAAGAATTGGCATATTTGCAACTCGTCACATTAAAAAGGGGGAACATCTGACATATGATTACCAGTATGAGCAATTGCTTCATTCTTTATTTGCACTTTTACAGTTGAGGATAGCCTGAGATAATTTGATGGCCATTATTGTGGATGCTAAATATATAGCAGGTTTGTTCAGTTTGGTGCAGATCAGGATTGTCATTGTGGTGCTGTTACATGCAGGCGTAAGCTGGGGGTTCGACCACCCAAACCCAAAATGGCTTCTGATGCTGCATTAAAATTAGTTGCATATCAGGTGGTTTCCTTTTCTCCAAAACAGTAATTATATCCAGAATTTTATTCATCTGTTTCAATTATGTCAAACTAAACCTTATTTCAGCTTCTTTATCAAGGAATTTTTTGGGAGCTAATTCTTTTAAATTGGGCTATAAACTTAAATAACAATTGACTTCTGCAGATTTCCAGTACTGTATTGTTATTATTATTATTTAAATCAGACTTGTGATCAAAGACATGCCTTGCTTATTTTGTCATTCTTGTAAATATGGGTCTTCTTGCCATGATTTTTTTCCCAGTTATTGGTGATGGATAAGTCACCATATCTTTAAGGACAGGACCTGTGTAGGGCATAAAGCATTGTACCCTGGCATATTATCCCCCCCCCAAAATGGGAAACAAGCCCCCGTCTCTGCCCCCAAGTATGGCATTCCTGATAAAGATTCTTGTGAACAGAAAAAAATTGCTATTCCTATCCCTTCCTAATCAATGCATGAAGCACGTTGAAATGGCAATTTAATCATCTTCTGATATTTTCTGCTAGCCATATTGGTTTGGGCCTAGATTTTTTCAAACTTAGGGAAATTGGGAAAAAATATTTTAGGTTGGGGGGGAGGCTGTGCAACTTTTAAGCTGTGACACAATGCGACAAAGAGATCACACTCTCAGTAGGAAATGGATTACTTGAAAAGACACCATTGATAATAAATGTTACTCTAGAGAAGATGCCGAATGTAGTGGTACAGGGAGGATGTGGATGTAACTAAAGTTTTTGGCATGGATGAATATGTGAAAATGAATCGCGATCTTGAACCAAAAAAAAAAAAAAGAGGTTAAACTAGTATTTAGAATGATTCCCAAGTAATGAAGTTGGTGTTTTCATTGCTAAGGTGCCACCAATCATTCACTCCATCCGTTCTCTTTCCAATTCCCATACTAATCAACAAAATAGGCCCTTAGTGATCAGCTCAATGATTTTTTTTTTTTATTGGTATTAGTATGTGCAATGTGCTGTAATATTTAGATCTGTCTTACCACTTTTGAACTGATAGTGTAATTTTTGTATGGGACAGGTTTATCAAAATGGACGTTTGCATACAGGTTTTTTTTTTTTTAAATTTCTTTTAATAAAAAAATTCTGTCAGTGTTGTGCTACTTGATTTTTTGTTTGATAGAAACTATGATTTGTATCTTTTAAGTCACTATCTCCTTCAGGATCATCTTTATATGTCACTAAATACCTGTGTTTTCTGTTGTGCTTGGCATTTTAGGAAGTTCTCATGTTGTTGGTCAACAAAAGCGCTCACACAATTGCATTGGTCAAGTTGTTAGGATAAGTGAGAGGTAGCTTTTAAGTTGTTTATTTTTGAAATGTGATATCCTGTTTGAATGCATATGATGTTTTTAATTAGTACTCTTTAATCTTTATATATTTTTGTCTAAATGATTGGATTGTGATCTTTTTCATTAACATTGTGCTCCAGGTTTGGGATTATAAGGCGGTTTGATAAATATTCCAAAAAGCATTTGGTAAGAGATTCCTTGGATTGATTTTCAACAATGAAGAGTAGCTTTAGGATCAAATTTATATGCATTTGTTTTTGCAGATCATGTTTGAGGATGGCACTGTTCATTCTTGTGACCTATCCGAAGAAGACTGGGAACTTGTGAAACTGTGAGGTAAGAATAGCAACTATATTAAATTAGCAAATATACAATTTTGTGCTGATTATGTACAAATTGTTCTTCGTTTCAATGCTTTAGGTTGCCATTTTGTAGTTGTTTGTTGGATGGAACAGAAAGGATTACTTAAGGAGTCTGTGAGGAAGTTGTCATGTTATGGTTTTGGGACTTGGGTTGGAGTAGGGCAGCGGGCACGCGTTACTCTTAGGATAGGTGTGTTCGGCAGTTCTGATAAAGATAGGTTTAGATGAGGAAAGAGAATCTGAGTGAAGGTATGGATGAGTTCTGAAGAAGCTGTTGGGCGAGATTTCTTGCATCTCAACTCTCAAACTAGCTATAGTATTTTAATTTCCCTGTATTTGTCATTTAGTTTTCTTTTTTTTTTTCTCTGCATGCTAGTGGTTTGGCTTTTTCTAGCTAAATCAATTCCATCAATTCAGGCTTTTCTCATATTTTCTTGAGCAATTAGCTTGGTTGCCATTAGTTACTACACCCCCAGCCATTGTTTCACCATTTCTATTAGGGAAAGGCAGGTAAAATGGGTTTTGACTTGATAGTCATAGTTGTGTGTTGCTTGTGCTGCTTTTGGTGGTTGCTGTTAACTGTTTGGCTCGGTAGCCGTTGCTTCATTTATGTTGTAGAATGATGCTTCTTAAATCATTTGGGCACCTCAATTTATAGGACAGTTATGCTCGTGGATGTGAAATAATTAAGCCAAACATATGAAGCAGTGAGCGACGCCTTTTATTTCCTTACCAGAAAAATTAGACCAGAAGTAATAACATGTAAATGTAATCCCATTCTCAACATATTAAGTTACGTGTATGTTATTACCATCTGACTTACTAATCTCGATATCATGCTTGTGTCACAAGTAATTTAAATTTTTATTCAGTGTAAAGCATTCATCCTTCTGTGAAAGACCGAAGGTTTTTGTCATTTGGTTTTAAGATTGTTTTCCTCCCTCCCTTGATCCGTCATCATGGTTCCATTTTTTTTTTTTTTTCACGAGGCTTCATAGTCAGTCTCAGTTAAATGTCATTTTTCTTGGTTTCCACTGCTACCAAGCATGGAAACTAGCCGTTTCATTCTGTTGTTATTATTGATGTCATTAACATATCTTTTAATACTCTTGTATGACCAGTATTGGGAGCTTTAAAAGGGTGGGAAATAACTTGTTCTCCTGTTTTGGTGTATAGGTTTAGAGCTGAAAATCGGGATCATCTTTTTGATTGCATGTGCATAGTTCTTTTTGAGGCTCTGATTAACAGAAATATGAAGCAGAATAGACCAATTATAACCCAGCTGATTGCAGGTATTAATTTTATTTTCCATTGTCAACTGTATTATATTAGTGAAAAGATAATGCTGTTTAAAGTGACAGAAATGTTGTCGTCTGTACAAATCCTGATTCTGTTATAAGAATAGGATTTAACCTTGCACTTTTTCCTGAAAATTTGTGCAATGGCTGTAATCAATACAATTTTTTCCTGCTATTTGATGGCAGGCGATCTAAAATATAATTCATGTGAGAGGGAAAAAAAAAAATGCTTTGCATTGGCATGTGTCATTCACTGTATCACAGCAGTACTTTGAACCTATCCTCTTCCTAACCCATTCATAACCTTCATTGCTAGACCACATGTAATGCAGCTTTCTAGTCTTCTCGATGCAAGTATGAATTAAATTTGCTCTCTCTCTGGCTGACTGCTTGCACAACGGGTTTTGGTAGGTCGCCATTGGTAAATTTGTTCTTGAAGCTAATCTCCATACCAAGCTAGACTCAACCTAGCTACTCATGCTTTGGTTTCCTTCTGATACTGAGTAGTTGCATAGTTCTTAATTATACGATGAGTCACTATGTTGTATAATCAATTCATCATCCCTCTGGATGTGTTTGACTAGCTAAACCCAACTACCCAGGGATTAGGTGTTTTTTATTCTCTTTGGGGTAACAAGATGGCATTTTATTTTTTTATGATAAGAAAAAATAGTGTTAGGCTAGACTGTACGATGATATACATTCACATATATTTATTCTCTATCGGAAAGCAAAGCTTGCAATTTTTTGTTTATTTATTTATTTTTTTATAACAAAGTTTTTGTTGATTTTGTTCCTACAAAAAATGGAATTTACTTTAAAAAATAGCTTCTGTAAATTTTTCAAGCTTTCGTTTTTGCATACACGTTAGAAATTTCAGTATCAATATTTTCTCAAAAAAGAAATCCCGTGGTTCTCTGGAGCAATAAATTCGGGTGGCGACCAACGAGATTATATGACAGGAAGGGGGGGAAAGAACTAAAATCTCGCTCCTTGAAATTTCATTCTCAGAAGCATTTCTGATTGTATCTGTGTATGCTCATATATTGGAAAGTGATGCGTGCTTAATCGGACGACGAAGATGAAATCATAGATCCAAGCACAAACGGTACGTCATAATCAAAATCGAGAATCCCTCCATTCACTTTCTCGCTCTGCTTCTCGTTCCGATCGTCGCAGATCACGCTTCCGTCGATCCTCGACCTCCATTTCTTACTTCCACCGCCAATCTAGAACCTTCCGTGCCTTTCCGGTGAGCCGTGCAAGACACGCCTGTTTCGGCCATTATCATTATGGTTGTGAGTGGAGGAAAGCCATTGAAGCGGATGAAGACGAGAGTCACGGCAGACTATGACTTCCTCACTTTTCCGTCGCCGTCACTGGTGGCGGATGAGTGCTGTGGTGGACCCTTCCGGACGAACGTGCGCTCGTTCCTTTCGAAGCATGCGCTGCTGCCACCTCCGTCAGCACTGTTTCCTCACCTGCTGACGTGGCAGATCCTTTTCCGAGTCGGAGACCAGACGGACGGACCGGACTCCACGCCGTCGGTGGTCTGCCTCGACGTCGTGGAAGAGGATGTGGCCAGATCCAGAGCAGTGTACTGCGATCAGTGTCGAGTTGTTGGTGAGTTGATTCGCCAGTAGGTGACCGATTCTCTTTCCATGCTAGATCGCTTTGGTTTCATCGTTTTCCAGTTTCTCCCGGTTGACGGTTTCCAATCACGTCTCCGTCTGGGAGCCCAGGAGAAAATGGTTGATAAAGGTCCCGGGTATCGTGGTAATTATGATCTGAACATTAATTTTAAATATTTTCTCCTAAACAAATAGACGAGAACTGACGTGATGCGATAATGACGAGGAACGTATCGTATTGGTATTTAGTATTAGCAATAATTAGTAATAATAGTAGTATTAATAGCAAGGCAAACTTATACACCTACGTTTATATACTTAAAATACTTGTATTTAATTAAATCAAAGCTTTTGGATCTTTTATAAATTATTTTGTTATAATAAATTCTTGTCATTAATTAAATTAATACATTAAAATTTACATAGTATAATTTAATTTGATATAAGTATATTAAATGTATAAAGTTACCCTATTAGTAATTGGTATTAGTAATACTAATAATAGTAATACTATAAACGGTAAACAATAACGTAGTTCCAAAAATAAAGCTGATCGATGAAAAAAATAATTGTGATAATTGAGATCACAATGTAAATAGGTTGTGGCCCACCAATTGACCTGCATCATTAAGTTGATCACAAGTTGACAACTTATCGCGCATATAATAGCGAGAGAATCCAATTTATCGGGAACTGTCTGATGATACATGAGGCTGTGCGGCCCATCCAGAGTAGCCCAATGGCAGTGTCTCTGTTTTCTTATCGGTTTTATTCCTTCTTTATTAGCACGGCAGGGCCATATGTCGGTTTAAGATTTTTTATTTTAGATATGGAAGACAATTTCTGTGCAGTCGTTGTTGCGGGACCACTATGACGGCTTTTCTTTTTTGGGGCCACATTCCTTGCGATAAAATTTTGTTGGTGCTGTTACTGAATGCGTAAAATACTAAAATGGAATTCATAACCATCGTCTTTCTTGCCCCCGCCCCAGTGCCGGGGGTTTTGACCTGAATGCTCCATGTTTAGTGAATTTTTTTCCTTTTATGTATGATGCCCCTTGTTATTATTAGTTTTCCTGTTTTTTTTCCTTTTGTTGGGCTGATACAATTTCAATTTATTATTTTTATTATTATTATAATATTGAACGAAATCTTACTGCTGGATGTGTGGCTATTGTTTTCTAATTCTCCTTTGCTTTTGAACTATTTATCTAGGTTGGAGTGACCACCCAGTATGCAGGAAACGTTACCACTTTATAATCAAGGCTGATGGTAGCTCCATCGGTGGGTACCACAAGCCATGCATGTGCTGTGGAGATATCTTGCACTTGTCAGAATCCAGGTGAGTACCTTCAGATTCCCTTTATTATTATTATTATTTTTTTTTTTTGGGGGGGGTGTGTGTTTGAGACTGTCGTCTTCTGAAGTTTTATTATTTTCAATTGCTTGGGTGTAGGACACTTTTTGATTTGTGGTACTGATACCCGAATCTAGGATTGTAAATTAGGACGGACGATTTCAATTTAGTGTAGGTGAATGGGATTACCTTTCTTTGCATAATCCAAGTGGGTAAATTGTTGAAGTAAGGCTATTCAATCCTGTGTAGAAATATAGTATATTGGTAACGGACGTACTTGTAATTGATTTTTTCAGCTTGGAATGGCCCCAGTAGTTCCGTACCGTGGTAATGTTAAAGCTACGAGAAATATCGTATAGTTTGGGTCCATAGGTTGCTGGTATAGCTTTGTTTTGTATACTTTTTTCAGCTACATTATTGTTTTCATGATACGATGCTTTGATGAAGGTGAATCATATTGATTTTAAACTTATAGAGCAGTCAATCTTTTAACTGGTGTCTGGTATGCTCTTACAACAAACGTGTAAATGTGTAATTGGATTTGCTATTGCTTATTAGTTATGACAGGCTTTGACTCTGAATGTTGTTTCATGTTTGTGGTTGGTCATGGATAATGTGCTTGCCATGAAAAGGAAGAGGCCAATAGATTGTATGTCCTTATTTCCACCTCAGTCCCATGGCTGTGTGAGGAAAAGAAATTTCAAGATTAAGTTCTAGTAGGTGATTAGATTAATGGACATGGCTAGCTCCTAGCTTATGCTTCGTAAGTTTGAAGTTTTGTTTTCATTAATTACTTTTTTCTTGTTATTTGGGGCTTTTGTCAATTGTTTAATTTGTTGTAATTCACCAAAATGTACTGATAGCTTCAAATTTGATGGGTTCTTCATGTTGGTTTGGAGCGACCAGTGCACTGATGTGTCTGTGATTTAATTGATCTCTTTTAGCGTGTCAAAATTATAGCTGGTTATGTGGTCATTGATGTGGGGTATGATGTTTTCTATCTTCAGGTGCAAGTCATGCAACCATGTGACGACCACAGATGATGTTGAAGACTGGGTGTATCACCAGTTAGAAAACACAACCCATCTTTTACATGGTGTTTTTCATGCGAATGGTTATGGGCACCTTCTTCGGGTTAATGGCAGGGAAGGGGGCTCAAGAGTTCTTTCTGGTTGTCATATCATGAACTTCTGGGATCGTCTCTGCAAGTCACTTGGAGCCAGGTTAGGATCTTTTGTTCTAATCATAAGTCTACAACTTCTACTTCCTTTATTGTCATTAAGTAGTTCTTTTAGTCTTCAAGAAAATTCTATCGATTTCTTGCTGCTTCTACTTGTCTTTCTTTAAGTAAATGCTTCCACTTGTCTTTCATCTATGACATACTCTGTCACCAACTTGAGAATATCATTGGAAATATTATATAGGTCTGCATTGAGAAATTGATTATTATAGGACATTACAAGTTTACAACTATTGTTTCTTAAAATGTAAATTTCCTATAAAGTAGGGTTAAGATTAGGAATTAGACTTACAAAATAATAGGCATTTGCAAGGATTTTGACCTTTGGGAAATGGAGTCATACGATTATACATATCCTTTTTACAAAAGGCAATTACATCTCTCTTTGTCTAAATACACCAGCCTTCATTGTTTATCATATCCTGTGTACATTTTTTTTTTTTTTTAAATATAACTATGAGCTAAGGTAAACTCCGCCTATGTTTATAGCCGGTAAGGTCTAAATTGGTTCATTCATCTTTACCTCGGGCAGAGAAGTTAGCTTAATGGATGTTTCAAGAAGATATGGGCTGGAGTACCGCCTGATCCATGCTATTACAAAGGGGCATCCCTGGTATGGTGATTGGGGCTACCAATTTGGCCACTTTATAATCAAGGCTGATGGTAGCTCCCATCGGTGGGTACCACAGCCATGCATGTGCTGTGGAGATATCTTGCACTTGTCAGAATCCAGGTGAGTACCTTCAGATTCCCTTTATTATTATTATTATTATTATTATTTTTTGGGGGGGTGTGTTTTGAGACTGTCGTCTTCTGAAGTTTTATTATTTTCAATTGCTTGGGTGTAGGACACTTTTTGATTTGTGGTACTGATACCCGAATCTAGGATTGTAAATTAGGACGGACGATTTCAATTTAGTGTAGGTGAATGGGATTACCTTTTTTGCATAATCCAAGTGGGTAAATTGTTGAAGTAAGGCTATTCAATCCTGTGTAGAAATATAGTATATTGGTAACGGACGTACTTGTAATTGATTTTTTTCAGCTTGGAATGGCCCCAGTAGTTCCGTACCGTGGTAATGTTAAAGCTACGAGAAATATCGTATAGTTTGGGTCCATAGGTTGCTGGTATAGCTTTGTTTTGTATACTTTTTTCAGCTACATTATTGTTTTCATGATACGATGCTTTGATGAAGGTGAATCATATTGATTTTAAACTTATAGAGCAGTCAATCTTTTAACTGGTGTCTGGTATGCTCTTACAACAAACGTGTAAATGTGTAATTGGATTTGCTATTGCTTATTAGTTATGACAGGCTTTGACTCTGAATGTTGTTTCATGTTTGTGGTTGGTCATGGATAATGTGCTTGCCATGAAAGGAAGAGGCCAATAGATTGTATGTCCTTATTTCCACCTCAGTCCCATGGCTGTGTGAGGAAAAGAATTTCAAGATTAAGTTCTAGTAGGTGATTAGATTAATGGACATGGCTAGCTCCTAGCTTATGCTTCGTAAGTTTGAAGTTTTGTTTTCATTAAATACTTTTTTCTT